TCTATTAGTTATAAATATATAGATGTAAGTCTATATCTATCTATATATTAGTAAATAAACTAAACAAACAGTAAAGTGACTTTATATTTTCTAGTGGGAGATGACATCCACTCTTGTGGTTTAGAACCCTGAAGCAAGGCTCAGTTGGTGTTTTTTTTCCTTCTGTTCCCACTTCATGTCTATGCTGGCCGGCTAGAATCAGCTGGAGAAAAGACTGGCCGACGCAGAGAAAAGATGGGAGGAAAGGATAGGCCTTCCTAGGAATCTAGAATGACACAGACTCCCAAACTCCAGAAAGTAAACCGGGAAAGGATAGGGTTAGCACAGGGTGGCCTTAGCATCTATGAAACTGCAACTAACAAGGACCTAGTTGCTCAATGTTAGCCTGGAGGCAGAAGTAGAAAACCTAGCAGAGGTCTAATTGTACACTATAAGTCATCTTACATCAGACAAACAAGGAAGTAGGAGCCTATCTTTTGACGTTGGTAAAACTTGGAATCTGGATTGGCACTCTGCCTGGTGGTCATAAAGGGAGGTGGAGGGCAGGGCTGGGGTGGCAGATAATGCCAGCATAGACAACTCTCTCTCAACCAGATCTGTAAAGGGAAGGCGGCATAGGAGATGATAGCTCTGAGACAGTGCTTAGTTCAATAATTTTATCATTCTTTGGCTGACTCTCAGCAGTGAGTCATGCTAAGAGTCTGAGACTATTTGGCCTTGGGACTGACAAGGACTTAAGTGGATGTATAAGTGTGTATGTGTGAGTGTGTGTGTGTGAGTGTGAGTGTGTGTGTGTGAAGGGAAGGAAGGAGGGAGGGAGGGAAGAAGGGAGGGAGGGACGGAAGGAGGAAGGGAAGGAGGGAGAGATTGAAAGGTAAATTAAGAAAAATGTTGAAGAAAGCAGAAAGTCAGAGAACAAATGCTGGGTGACTCTGGACTGCAGTACCAGGCCACCTTACTATACACACTACTCCTTGTAGAAGCTGTGTCGACTTTTAGAGCTTTGTTTCCTTCATTGCTGAAAGGAGAGTGCACAGGTTTGTTTTCTCTTTCCTTCCTTCCTTCTTTCTTTCCTTCCTTCCTTCTTTCCTTCCTTCCCTCCCTCCGTCCCTCCCTCCCTCCGTCTCTCCTCCTTTCTTTTTCTCAACTCAACACAAGCCAGGATCATCTGGGAAAAGGGACTCAGTTTAGACACTGCCAACATCAGACAGGCTGTAGGCTAGTCTGAGGGGGCATTGTCTTGATTAGTGACTGATGTGGGAGGGTCCCGGCCACTCTGGGTGGTGCCATCCCTGGATGAGTGGTCTTGGGCTGAAGGTAGCTGAGCCAGCCTAAGGGGAGCTAGCGGGTAATCAGCACTCCTCCATGACCTGGCTTTAGTTCCTGCCTCTGGGTTTCTACTTAGAGTTTCTACCTAGAGTTACAGAGCTCCTTCTCTGACTTTCTGTCGTGGTGGACTGTGATTGCGATGTGTGCGCCAAATAAATCTTCCCCAGGTTGCTTTAATGGTCATGGTGTTTTATCACAGCAATAAAAGGCAGTCTAGGACAGAGAGATAGAGTGACCTCTACTCAGAATTCTTGTGCAGAGACTATAAAGCCTCTGCGTAGTTACAACTCCCAGACACCTTGATAAACGTTAGTTATCTTATTGATATTGTCTCGTGTTACATTAAAAATGGTGCAGTTGGACAAAGGGGAAACATTAGTGGTGGGTTTCTTCTTTTGAAAGTAGCGAATAACGGTCAGCCTACACTTCCAAGTAATGCCACCACTCCTCACCAATGCTCTGAAAAACTGGTCCCCAAAGGGCATGGTTTTAACTGAAAAGCAGTCACATTTGTACTCCAGATTGGAGAAAGAAGTGTGCAAGCCCATGCAATGGTAGTCCAGCACGGACAAACTGTTAGTGATGAGTTCTGCCGAGTTAGCCTTCTCTCCCACAGCCCAGATGCCCTCGGAAGGATACAGGTTGATAGCAGACACTAACCAGACTCAGCAATTCAAAAGGTGCGTGAGTGACTGCCTACAG